CCCCTGGCAGCCCCCAGGCACAGACGGAGGATTTGGAGTGTGCGCATTCTGCTACCTGGTCTTACTGCGTAGGTACCTTTCACGTTCACTTCAGTACCCAGCTTGTTTAATTAGTCTGCAATAGCGGGACAAACAGCAGATGGTGTCATGCTGCAGAGACGGAGGGTAAAGAAGACAGAGGTGGCATTGGACTGGGGGCACGACCACACTAGGTGGAGCCGGTCCTGATACGCAGCATCAGGCTCATCTCGCCCATCAAACCCCCTCCAGCAGAACAGGCCACCTTTGAACCATGTCTGAACCACGGGAAAGATTCAAAATTCAGGGAATTCAGCTGAAGACATATTATTGGCCAGTAGGAAACCCTCAATAGGTTATTTACAGAATGCACACAGTCCTGCTTGTGTATATGACAAGGAATTACATAAAAAAATAAACATGTATCAATTTGTGTTTTGTGAGATGTAAACTGCACCTCATGAACTGCATCGTGAAATATGACTGCCTGATAAATGCTGGGTTATTTATCAAGGACTCAGAGCCAGCTGACGAGTTTTCCTTACATTTTATTCCTTACTGTTATTCTGCATCCTGACATGAAAGCCATGAACAACAGGGAGCAGGATTAATGCAAATATATGTGCAGGAAAGAGCCAATGAGACTGATCGAAGCTAGCGGGGACGGCGAACCAGCAGTAACTGCCATTGTTTCAGAGCAGTGACTACCTGCCGTTCCAAGCTCTGCTTTATGTGATATGTACAGGGACACTGACAGGCCTTACATGTAACAGGAGACTGACAGATTTTATATGTACAGGGACACTGACAGACTTTACATGTAACAGGAGGCTGACAGACTTTACATGTAACAGGAGACTGACAGATTTTACATGTACAGGGACACAGATAGGTTTGTACCAGAGAACTTACACATAAAATTTATTATAAAATTAAATTATTTAACCAAGTCCCTTGTGTGCTTGTATTTGACTATGATAAAATGGCCGAAAGTTTTCAAACAATTGTTCAAAATTTACAAACATACCAGTTCACTGCTACAGTCTAATTTTCTAAATATGTAACAAATCAGAACTTGCCTATCCTCTATCAGCTTCTCTGTGAAATGCTAACTGAATGTTTTGATTTCAGCTGTGAATTCTGAGATTCAGAGCAGCATCACACCTGAAGCACTCATGTTTTTTGCAACCAGGAAGGAATACTAATGGTCTACATTAAAAATCTTTGCTCCAGCTATTCTCCGACTTGGGTATCACAATTAAAGCATGACGAAACACAATCAAAGAAATAATGTGTGCCAACACATTTATGTATTATGAAGTACATGAAAAAAAATCTCTAGAAGAGAATTCACAAAAAAAGAACATTTTTTTTATAAACATGAGTTTATAAAGAAGTCAGGGGTTTCTGGCTCCTGTCACGTCAGCTACTTTCTGTGTATCCCTGGGAACGATCTGCTTACCACAAATTTATAATCTGTACCCTTCTCGTGTTATTTACTCCTAAAAACACCCTTGTGCTTGCTGGACACGCTCTGTAAAAGAATCAATAAAACTAATATCAGCCTCCACGGCGGTAGATGCTAACAGATCTGATTTCAGGGTATCACACCTGTCAAGAGAAGACCAATGAAACATTCGCCGGCTAATCGCTCCTTTCCCGTGGTCGGGTTTTGGAAATGGGAGGAGGGCAGAAAGTGAGTGGTCTGTGATCTGCAAAGAATCTGCCCCCAAGGGGCACGTGCCCCTTACCCTGCATCAACTGGGCTTTCTGCCCTGAAAAGGACGCAGGAAGGCGGAGAGCAACTGTTGCTTCACGGTGAAGCATCTCCCCTGCAAGCAAGGACAACATGGCCTCTTTGTAAAGACGACAGTCACCGCTGCTATTGCCTAGGGGTGCACTGAAGTGATAATGGATTGAAAAGACTAATATTATCTTTCCTCCAGTTGAGAGACAGGAAGAGTGAGAGTGGGAGAGCAATTATTTTCCACCCCGTTCCATCAAAAGCAAGATTTATGGCACACTCGTGTGAAACGAGCTGCTCCTCTTAATGTAGGCGCCAGTGTCAGAGACGATCTTCTAATTACGGGGTAATAAATACCCCACGGCTACGCTGGAGAGCACATTGACGCTGGACATCCACTGCCTGCCTGTGACACGCGTCCAGGCTCCGTGGGCTGGCCCACCATGCAGGGGCTGATAGCGGGATCGCTGCACTGCGGCTGATAGAGGGCGGCGCCCACAAGCCGTCAGTCAGCAGCGCTTATCTCAGCCTTGGGTTCGACAAACTGCACCGGGAGTGGTGATGCTTTTGCCCGAATTCTCGTGACCGTGTTATACCTTCCAAAAGATAAGAATCCATACAGAGGCCACCTGCAGTGGCCAAATTGGTACAGGACAGCTACACACTGGGGGCCCATAAGCAGCCCCACCCCCCGAGCTCACGGCCCTCTGTGTCTGAGCGAGAGGCAGTCTTACTTCTGGTGACTACACCTTCCAGCCTGATGATGTTGGGGTGGTCAAACTGGCCCATGATGCTGGCCTCCCGCAGGAAGTCCCGCCTCTGCCGCTCCACATAGCCGCCCTTCAGTGTCTTGATGGCCACTGGGATCTCTCTCTTCCCTGGGGTGCGGAGGCGACCACTGCACACCTCGCCAAATTCACCTGCAACAGGAAGCCAAGCACCTCACCAAAACACACATTCCTGGACACTTCATGCTAATGATGTTCTGGCGAAAAACTCCACAATTAAGTATTTTTAACAGATTGTCCACTGGGGGGCAATCATGATGTGTTAAAGCAAAGTTTTGTCTAAAGATGTGCTTTTCACACTTAATCCATCTACTGAACAACATGTACCTTACAATTATGTTATACTGCAGCACCTATCTGCTAATAAAATGAAATAAAATACATTTAAATCAAACACAATAATAAAATAATCTTGAAAAGAACAGGAATTGTATAATATACTGAATACATTATGTACGCATTTCAGAATGAACAAAGAATCCTTTACTCTGTACAAACTGTTATCATCTAGCAGAACAGGGGCCAACAGAATCTAGCGGAACAGTAATATTATGTCCTCTAATATAAGCTGCGCATGTCCCTCCCCCCCCCGATGCAGGAACACAAACCTGCACCGATCACCCTCTCGATGCGAATCCTAGCCGGCTCGATCTCCTTGGCGAACTCGTGCACAGCCTGCGCCGGGTCCTCGTAGGTGTCTGGGTCGATGTATGTCTTCATTCCCGGGAAGGGGACTGCAGTGCAGACAGAGAGCGGTCACTCACATAGACGAGAAAAACGAGGTTCGGAATCTCGGCTGTGTGGATGACAGTCCCAAAAGGCAGAAATGGGGCACCATGGACAGCAGTGAAGCTAAACAGAGTCCTTACGCATTGTAGTCTGAACCGCCACTGCAAAGACCTGCTCACGTCACTGAACCTATGTGCAGTGCAGAGGTCAGTAGACCTTAGCATTTCGAAGCTTCGGGTCAATTTACGTAACATGAGGCTAGGGGGTCAATAGCTGGCAATCTGTCGGTGTGTGACTGTGCAGAATTGTGCTGTGTAGCAATGTGTAGCTCAGTATACCTGGCAGACTGTCAGTGTGTGTCCTCCATGCTGTGTGCGTGTGTGTGTGTCTGAGACTCACATGCAATGTCAAAGCCTTGCCTAGACAGAGGGGGAATCTGTCACCACAGTCAGGATGGGAAATTGGGAATGGCGGGAACAACCAACCGCAAGACGGACGCCTGACGCCTCCAACAATGTTTATTTGCACAGAAAGAGACATTGACATTCCTGGGGGGAGGGGGGGGGCATGCTCGCAGCCAGTGCATGGCAGACACGCAGCTACGGCTGCAGGCACGATGACTTCATAAGGCCCTTATTTATCGAGCACCTCCACCGCTGCACGGCCTGCACAAAGTCATCTGCCTCAACACTCTGCTGTTTCATCAATCTTTCATCATAGGAGAGGAAAAAAGACTTCTTTTGGGGCTGGGTACATCAAGCAAGGGAATGAAGAGCTCTGGCTGAACTTGGGAGAAAGGTGAGAAGGAAACGCACACGGGAGGCTTTAAGGTACGTCCTCCTGGCCCCCTACTGACCCCTGGCAGCTAAAAACGCCTCAGAAGTCTATTGTTTACAGACAAGTGATCCAAGGGCTGCACATGATCACTCATCTGGCCTTTTCGCCCCTACTGAGAATTTCACTGCTGGCCACAATTAACTTGTACTATGTTAATTTATGGTGCAGGTCCTGTTAAATCTTTGTCAAGGCTTTGGGACAACTGTGTTTACTAATAGGGAAATAAATTGAATAAAACTGGAAAGAAAATGATTGCCGTTCTGCTGGGAATAGGCAGGGGTGCTCTCTGATTTGAGTGTGAACATGCAGGACCCTTTATAGCAGTCCTTCCC